TTCCCAGCCCATGCCATGTCGCTGAGTGTCCCACTCCGGGATTCCCAGCCCACCCCATGTCACTGAGAGTGTCCCACTCCATCCATGCCTTGATATATTTGCAGGGGATTTGGTCTGGTCCATAACAGTTTGTACAATATTGCACTTATATAATTTTGTACTTTCTTTTTTAGACAGTATTTCTGTATCATTAACTTCTTTCCTGAATGATAGAATAGACAGGCAATCTGTAAAGAAGTGACTGGTCTCTAATTGCTAGGTCAGCAAATGAATGTGCGTAGTTCAGCATTTTCTTAGCAGCCCATTAGTTATTGGCAAATTTAAAGGGTCACAATGTTTGTCAAATAGGGTGCTAAATCGAGGAATGCTGAACAAAAAATCACTGACCACAATATTTCACTCCTAAAAAATACTTTTAAATACAATTATCTTGAAAAGTTTTTCGTGTTAAGGCAAATGTTGTGCAATCATGGTGCAGAGTACAGAAAATTATCATGCACGCAGCATGTTTCTCTTGACCATGTTCACTCATGTTAAGCTTTAATTTCATCTTTATTTTAACTTTAAATGCTTAACAGCTGTCTAAGAATTTTGCATGGAAGAATGGCAGTTACATACGTTGAACATTTACATCTTAGAGACATTAATCAAACATATATACAAATGATCCCAGTGCATAATTTCTCTCCTGTCTTCTTCTGTGGGACTGTATTTTGCTTTAAGTGAAAATTGTGCTATAACATACACAAGAGTTTGCTCCACCAGTACTACTGTCATTGTTGTTCACTGACACTTTTTGAATATCTTTTATTTCTAGGTGGAGTTGATAAAGCAGACTCGGAAATTGGATTCAATATACTACAAGAAACTTGAGGAACTACGGAGAAACATGTTTCCTGATGAAGTAATTAGTTCTTCTTACCTCAAAGAGAAAGTTAGATTTCTCTGCTGATGTACAAAACAAAAGAAATTATCATTTACCAATATCTTCTACTTAATCTGAGCTGACTGCATTAAGGCTTTTTTAAAATTATGTTGGCCCGTTCATAAAATTATCCTTTATGAATTTAAAAGTAATTTTAATTGGCAGTTTAAGAGTGACCAACAGTTTTGGATTTTTTTAGGACTGTCCTGTGGAATTTAGTTTTGCATCTTGCATCAGGGGCCCAGACCTTCGAGGGTGCCATTTCTCCCAGAATTCTTTTGCCTACGTGCTATGATGTTTCCATTCATTCATGGGATGAAGACAGCACTGGCTAGGCCAGAATATATTGTCCATCCCTTTTTGCTCAGAGGGCAGTTAAGAGTCAACCACGTTGCTGTGGGTTAGGAGTCACATGTAGGCCAGACCAGGTAAGGATAGTAGTTTCCTAATCTTTGGATTAACAGAGTAGCAATAATACCACGAGGCCATCGCCTCCCCACTTCTGATAATGTGCAGTGTGCTGTTGTGCATGTGTTTTCACAAGTTTACACAGCCATGATAGCTGGTTGGTGGTCCTAAATTACACATTTCATAATGAATGTGCAGTAGCTTTTCCAAAAGGGCCCTGTTTTCAACTTCTTTAATGAAGTTGCATACATAATGTGCATTAAAAACCATTGCAACTAACAACTTCTCTTCTAATTGATTTTTGTAATTGTTATTTAAACTTAAATGCATAAATGCATTAGTATCTGAATTCCTATCACTGATGTGGACAGGTCCGTATTGCCAGTGGATGACCTTCTACATTATATTTTTGATGATAGTGATGCAAAATGGACAGAAGTAGATTACACCCATGTGGATTAAGTGCTTTGTGAAAATGATTTATATAATAAAGTTAATTAGAGTAGTATCCAAATAAGGGCAAACAACATTTTGCTTGGCTCTCACCACGAATATGTAGCTCCTTACTGAATCATAGCATCATAGAATTTTTGCAACAGAAAAGGAGGCCATTGGGTCCATCATGTCTATACTGAGGAGCAGTTTGTCTTGTGCTATCTCCCCAGTAATCCTTTTCTCTCCTGCATGCTGTAATTGAAGCTGCCTCCACCACACTTTCAGGAACTTAACCACTCGCTGGGTCAAAAGGCTTTTCCTTCTGTCAGCAAGTTGAGAAGGATCCAAAGGAATCTCCTTTTCACCCTCCATTATCACTAACCGGTAATGTTTCAGAGTGTGTGTCGATGATTAAGTTGGCCTTAACTGCTTGAGCATCCTTTAAGACTGTATTGAACTTGTGAGAGGCAGTGTTTTATTTTGCTTTTCTCAGGACACCAATGTGCTAAAAGGGATGGTGAAGATGAGGTGTTATCCATTGTACATCTCACAACCTTGAATTACAAATCAGTCTGTTGAAAAGCTGATGCAAAGAATGAACCTTACCTTGGAGAGATGTGTGGAATCATCACATATTGTATACTCTCACTATAAGGGGATGCAATGTATAATGGTGCAGGCATCTCAGACCCAAGCAAATTCTCTACTCATAGTGTTTAGCCTCATTGTTGTACTCATTGAAATGCAATCCACAATACCAAGGTTCCAGAATCCCTGACATCTGAGACTGTCGGTTGTCAAAGAGTCATTAGAGAGAGTTCTTAGGGCTAAAGGGATCAAAGAGTATGGTGAGAAAGGGGGTACTGAGTTGGATGAGTAACCATGATCAAATATGCGGGACTGAATGGCCAACTCCTCTTTCTATTTTCTATTTGTTTGAAAGAGATGGGCAGTGCTTAGTAATTACAACTCCTTTCATCCTTGGGATGTTTGAACAGACTTCTCATCTCTCACATGGTATGACAAACAGGTATAGCAGTGAAATGCAGCAAGCCTTTGAACAGTGGAATTATACATATATTTACAAGAGTGAAGGATAATTTACAGTGACATTTCACCCATGCCATCAGCATGCTTTCCTCTCCCTCTCCCTATCACTATGTCTATGTGCAGACCTGACCTCTGCAGCTGGGGTGGAGGGGTACAGTTCTACTGTTGGCTCTGTCAGCCTGGAAGACTCGTGTGATCATCTCCTGGTGCTTTTCCTGCTGAGAGTGTGCTGTCCACTAGGCTCCCCCTTCTCGGCTGCAGGCTTTGAGATCTTAGACAGGAGGAAGGTGGAGGAGCTGAGCCTGAGCAGAAGCTTCTGGGGGGAGGTCTGCCTCTTGGTCCTTCCTGTGGATATCTACTGACCCCACTTAGAGTGAAGCTAAGTTCCCTTGTCCCCTCGTGCCTTGTCATTGATGCTGAGCCCCTATGGCCAGAAAAATAGCTGCCTGAAAGTGAGTTTGCTGGGCTTGGCTCACCAAGTTGGACACCAAACTGGCCAGCAGAGGCAGCCAGACAAATGCATGCCAAAACCAGCAGGGTACTAATCCCTGTTGGGGGACTCCACTATCCTTTGATCCAGTTGACCGAGTGCCTTTCCCAAATCTGCCTGCTATTCCTGTGGTCTACTGGTGTAGTTTGATGGTCTTCAGTGGCCAAGAACACCTCATCTTCTGCCCGTGGCTGAGGAGAAACCTGATACTTGACTGACTGACTGACCTTCATGTGTCAGAGACCTGGGGCCTTTATTGTCCAAACAGTGATAGAAACATGTCAGTGATGTGCTTTCCAGATTGTGCCACCTGAATCTAATCTGGAAAGATTACCCAACGAGGTGAAGTCTCTGATGGTGGCCTCTTTGTAGAGGTTAGTGAACGCCATTATTGCCCCCATAAGAAAACAAAAGGAATTGGTTGTAGAAGATGCATAAAAGCTTTGGAAGATTAAGAATAAGTAAACACTGATGGCAATGGGAGAGCAGTGCAGCTCAGCAAAATAAAACTTGCTGGATTGGTTGCCTATTGAGCTCTCTCCTTCCCTACATTAGTGATCCTACACTTCTCTGGTGACATTGAGTACTTTTTCTTCGTAAGGAGAAAGGAGCCTGAACCCCCTCATTTATCTTTGACTCTGGGCCTTGTTATGGATCAACTTCTCCTGCAATGAGAAACAGAGAGCAGTTGAGTACGACAGAAATAAATGGAAGACCAGTTTGTGCAGGAGCAGAAAGGGTACTAAAGTGTCTCCTGTGAGTGAGTAGGAAGGTTGGAGGTCAGGAGGGGGTAGTAGTTTGAAAGGACAAGATTAGTGAGAGCCATTGCATGGACATGTTGCATGCAATACTGAGACTTGAGGTCCATGAGCCCTATTGAGATGAGGCAGAATTAGAGTGAGTGCTGGCTGTGTCAGTGTGACATAGCAGAGAGATGGTGTCACTTACCTTCGTAGAACACAGAAGATCGTTGACGTTCTTTCTTCAATTCTGGCTTTACTTTTCACCTGGGACACAGCACTGACCCAGGCTGTAATCTGTGTCCAGGCTGACTGTGTCTGCTGGCATAGCCTCCTGTGGAAGTTGGACTGGAGAAAGGAAGTTCCTCCTCTCCACCACCCATTCACTAACACTCATCTGTGAAGCAGGGAGCTTAATTGTCTTTTTTCTGGTCCAACTTCTGTGTTGTGTAATAACTGTCAAGCATCACAGAGTGAGGGCAAGTATCTTACAGTGTTTGAAGTGAAGTCCATCTGGGCTTTAAATATGGTGCCAGAAATATGAAAACCAGAAGTTCACAAACGATGATGAATACATCTGTCTCTGCACTTGGACAATTCCCAAGAAGATTGCCCCAGTGGCGACAAAATTAAAGAGATGGAGAGCAGAAGTTTGGGTGAGAACAATCACACTTAAACTGTGTCAGACTGAGCAAATCACTGGAACTGCAAATGGGAAAATTTTGTCTAAAGAATCTAAATGGGATAGAAAATCAAAGGGATCTGGGAGTACCGTATGGAATCATTAACCGTGGCAAAGCATGTCATCAATGCAATAAACAAAACTTTGGGCTTACGTATAAAGGGATAGAATTCAAAAGCCCAGAAATTATGCTGGTTAGGCCTCATTTAGAATATTGTGAGCAGTTTGGGTCCTGTATCTAAGGAGGCATGTGCTGACATTGGAGGGGGTCCAGAGGAGATTTACGAGAATGATTCCGGGGATGAAGGGCTTGTCATGTGAAGATTGGTTGAGGACTCTGGTTCTGCACTCAATTTAGTGAGTTTAAAAGGATGAGGGAGAGGATTCTGATTGAAAGTTACAGAATACTGAGAGGCCTGGATAGAGCAGTCGTGGAGAGTCTAGACGGAGAGTCTAGGACCTAAGGGCACAGTCCCGGAGTGAAGGGATGACCCTTTAGCACTGAGAAGAGGAGGAATTTCTTCAGCCAGAGGGTGGGTAATCTGTGGAATTTATTCTTGCAGAGGACTATGGAGGCCAAGTCATTGAGTATTTTCAAGACAGAGATAGATAGGTTCTTGATTGGTAAAGTGTTCAAGGGTTATGGGGGAGAAGGCAGGAGAATGAGTTGAGAAACATATCAGTCATGATTGAATGGTGGAACAGACTTAATAGGCTGAATGGCCTAATTCTGCTCCTATGGCTTATGCTAAACTTGTTTCAAACTCTGGTTAGATGAGAAACTGAAAAGAAGAATTGTGCAGATACTGAACATTTGAAATGGAAACAGAAAATGTTGGAAATACTCAACAGGTTATGGCAGTAACTGTAGAGGTAAAACATGGAATCACCTTATTGTTATAGCACAAAAGGAAGCCATTCAGCCCTTGGGCTTCTGTATTTTCTTATTGGGTAGTTGAGAGACTGTACATGACTTTTTCCACTCCAGAGATGTGAGTACTGAAGTTACCAAACAGCTGGATGTGCACATTCGGTCACAGGTATGGCTGGTGGTATTTGAAGAAGAGGTGGGTGAGATACTTGGGTTTTCACCTGCTGCTTCTGCTGTTTGTGCTTGGCTCCCACCTGGGTCAGTTGGAGACATTCAATTTGGTTAGTACCTTCCAAGATGATTCTTCAGGTTGACTGGCCTTGAATAAGAAATTGCTGTGAATTGGTGGGAATTTTGCACATTTTCAGAGAAGCTTTGAGGACATCCTTGATATGTTTTCTCGACCATCCCTATTGGTAACCGCTCACCATGACAGAGCTCTGATAGAGACCTTGTTTTGGAAGGCTTGTGGCAGGATTAAGGATAATGTATCTCACCCATCACAACTGATTAGCAACAGCCAGTGCCTTCATGCTTTTTTTTCTCTTATTCATTTTTTACGGGATGAGGGCGTCGCTGGCTAAGCAGCATTTATTGCCTATCCCTAATTGTCCAGAGGGCAGTTGAGAGTCAACAACATTGCTGTGGGTCTGGAATCACATATAGGCCAGACAGATAAGGATGGCAGATTTCCTTCCCTAAGAACATTAGTGGACCAAATGGGTTTTTCCGACAATCGACAATGGATTCATGGTCATCATTAGATTCTTAATTCCAGATATTTATTGAATTCAAATTCCATCATCTGCCATGGCAGGATTCAAACCCGGGTCGCCAGAACATTATCTGGGTCTCTGGATTAACAGTCCAGTGATAAATCCAGAGGCTGGGGTGGTTAACACTGATATTGAAGCATTCATCCTGCTATTGTATGTTTTAGGTCTACTGGAGACACTGCAAAGAAGATTTAGCCAGATGATACCTGTAAGGCTATGTTATGCATATTGGAAAAGGATGAATAATGAAGATATCTTTTTAAGAGAGGCTGAGAGTCAATCTAATGGATGCCTTTAAAAATATGAAACACTTTTACAAAGTAAAAATAATATATTTCTGTGTGGGAAATCAAAAGTCAAGAGGCTTATTTTTCTGTCTATTCGTTCATGGGGTGTTGGTTTCAATGGCTGGGCCAGCATTTTTTGCCCATCCCTAGTTGCTTTTGAGAAGAAGGTCGTGAGCTGCCTTCTTGAAATGCTGCAGTTCATGGGCTATAGGTACACCAGCATTGAAATGTTTCACAATATTACATATTTTTGTGGTAGACAGATGTCTTTTTGGCCTGATAGCAGCATCCTGTTATGGGAGAATGTCACTTATGTTACTTCATGAGAGCAAACTGGAACTATTACAATTTTTAGTTATGGAAGCTGCACATATGACTTTAATTGTAATATCATTTTCTTTCTTTCTCTGTTTTTAGGAATTGATTCTTCCTTCCCGTTCAGTCAGTGTGGTAAAACCTTCAGATGATGTGAAAGGCTCAAACTACTGGCAGATTGTTCCTGAAGAATTCTGTAATTACACATTGAATTCACTTATTCGTAATCGCTTAGACCTCGAGAATTTCCAGGTATTCCTTCAAGAAAATTTAGCAGGGTAAGTGCCTATGTACCATTCTTTAACATAATACAGTGAAATTCACTGTAAAAGACTCAATTATTACCAGTGCAAAAATACTGTGAAAATGAAATAAAATTTACAAATACTGGAAATACTCAGCAGGTTTGACAGCATCCATGGAAGAGAAAGACAGAATTAACATTTCAGTTCAATGATCTTTTATCTGATTGTGACATGTTAATGTTAACTGTGAGTGGAATTTTCTGTGTCTGTTTAGAGATTTTAGAGGTATGAATGAGGACACTTCATTGGGCAGTGGGGATATCTTCAGTTTACCATCGGTGGGCTAGAGTTTTGTGATTCAGCTCTCAGAAACTGTTAGGTGGGTTGGGTTTCTGTTTTGCATTCATTAGCAATCTTTATCAACTTACTAGCCTGCTGAAATTATGTTCAAAAATCTTGTTAGTAATCTTGTTAGCCGTAAACAGGAAACAACTGACCACAAACCCGAAGTATACATCTACATGTGGTGAGTGCCTGATTGGGTGGACTTCTTTCTTCTAGCTCGAGGGAGTACCAACTACTTCTGTTACTTGGCTGCTTCATAACCAAACCATTTCTTTGCACAAATGCTTAATGTTGAGATGAAGCCTCTCCAATTCGATCAACTCATAAGGCATATTGGCCATATGCAAACTAGCTTCTTCTGGTTAAACCCTTATAGTGTAAGTGGTGAAATCTGATTGAGTGAACAAGACTGTGCAAGTAAGGCAACCACACTGGCTGATGCCAGCAAACCTGACCTGGGCAGACAACTGGGACTGAGGTTAAAGGGGGTGCAACTCAAAAAGCCAACTTCTGTGGTTGTGACCTTGGCCCATATAATCATTTGGTGAAAAGCTACTTAATGTGTACATTCTCCTAGATGTGACGAAACGTTATTGACCTGATGGAGCATAAACCCCCATATAACTCCATTTATGTTTTATGTTTGAACCTGGCAGATTCTGTCAATAGTGACAGACATTGATTGCACATCCTGGGTAACACTCCTCTGCAGTGGTATTACACAATGCCAACTTACACTCATTGGAACATGAAGCATTGTGTGGACAGTGGTGCATATACTGGCAAAGTGCAGAAATTCATTCATCCTTTTGAGGCACTGGATTCAGGTTCTCTTGAAGTGTTCATGGGCACTGACCGCCACAGCCATTTTTGTCCAGGCTCTCTGTGTCAGTCAATTTGACCTCATTCATAGAGTCAAAAACTTCACTTCCCTCCTGTGCAACCTTCAAGAGAACCAATAGAGAGGCACTAGTGAAGTATGGCACCATATTTTGCTCTTTCTCTGACATCTCCAAGGTGTGTTGCAGAGAGCAAAGTGTTTTCCTGCATGTTGGAGAGATCTGGCCAGTTTAAGAACTGCCTGAACATAAAATTTGGCATTTTACCTATATGTGAACATGTAACAAGCTGAAAAAAGATGTAATTGCACAAGAAAACTTATCCCACCCATTTTTATGCCCACCTCTCACCTGGTCTGAGAAAAATCCACCTTATGTTTCTGTCCCCAGATTTTTGATTCCTATGGCTGAGGAAGGAGTTATAGTCTGATACTGAGGTTAACAATTTATTCAATGGTTTCAGCTGACACAGTGTGAATGGTTGTGAAGCTACCAGCAATAGATCTTTTAGGGCAAGTGTTCAGCTTATGGGCAATAGTCCGAACCTGGATGTCCATAGATCACAAGTTGAGCTATTCCCCCAAGTTTCACTTGTGGAGTCAGTGGCCACATCTTCCTTGGTCTGCTCTCAGGTGGTTGGGCATTATCCAGATTTTCCATTGAAACCTGGGACTACACCACTCACGTCAATGAGATAGTAGGAACTGCAGATGCTGGAGAATCTGAGATAACAAGGTGTAGAGCTGGATGAACACAGCAGGCCAAGCAGCATCAGAGGAGCAGGAAGGCTGACGTTTTGGGCCTAGACCCTTTTTCAGAAATGGGGGAGGTGAAGGGGATTCTGAAATAAATAGGGAGAGAGGGGGAGGCGGATAGAAGATGGATAGAGGAGAAGATAGGTGAAGAGGAGACAGACAGGTCTGACCTGTCAGCCTTCCTGCTCCTCTGACGCTGCTTGGCCTGCTGTGTTCATCCAGCTCTATACGTTGTTAACTCACATCAATGAGCAGATTGAGATTGGTGATGTGTACAGTCAAAATGGAAGTGTGTCACTGAGAAGTGAAGCTTTGGTCAGTTTGTAAACTGTGAATAATGGCACATACTAAACCTCCTGATGTCTGCAGGAAAACCATCAAAGAACAACAGCTGACGAAACACTCCAATTGACACAGTACTTCATGCTGATGCATGGACATTTGTCTTTCTTTTTATTTCAGTATGGATCTCAAGTGCTGGATGGACATTGAATACTTCAGAAGAATACCTCACAATGAAAAGGAGACTAGAGATATTACGTCCAAAGAGATCAAGGCCAAATATTTGAATAGGCAGTACTTCTTTGGACCCAGTAGCCCAGCTACAAAAGTACAACAAAATGAGGTAATTGTCTGAAAGTTTTAATATTAGTTTAGTACTTCACACATGATTCAAAGTAGTTAAACCATATCAGTAAGCTAAAATTGGTTGGCTCAGTGGTTAGCACTACTACTATACAGGGCCAGGGGCCCAGGTTCAGTTCCAGCCTTGGGTGACTGTCTGTGTAGAGTTTGCATGTTCTCCCTGTGTCTGTGTGGGTTTCCACCAGGTGCTTCAGTTTCCTCCCACAGTCCAAAGATGTGCAAGTTGGGTGGATTGGCCATGCTGAATTGCCCATAGTGTCCAGCAATGTGCAGGTTAGGAAGATGAGCAATGGTAAATGTGAAATTCCAGAGGTAGGGTGGGGGAGCTGAATGGCCTTATTCTTTGCCTTAAATATTTCAATGTTTCTAGCTCTTTTGCTAATGATTTTAAATCTGTGAGTTCTGGTTATTTACTGAATTGCCAATTGAAACAGCTACTCTCTACTTTTCTATCAAAAATCCTCATCATTTTGATGAATACCTCTAAGTCTCCCCTTAAACATTTCTGATCTCAGAAGAAAGATCCAATTACTGCAATCTCTCCACTTCAATGAATGTGTGTGGATCACAGGCAGAAAATGCATTTAAGGCAAAGATCCGATGTGCTGCAATTGAAAATAGCCCAGAGAGTAAATAGCCTTCTCCAGTTTTTTAATGTTTCCTTAGAAACAGTTTAGATGCCACTGGTAAATTTCATAGTCATAGAAGCATACAGCACAGAAAAGGCCCTTCGGCCCATTGAGACTGCATTGACAATAACTATCACTAAAGGTGTGCTAATTCTTGTCCCTAGTCTTGAATGTAATATTTCAAGTGCTCATCCAAATATTTTTTTGAAGGTTGTAAGGTTTCCAGCCTCCAGTATCTTTTTCAGTCAGTGCATTCCAGATTCCCACCATCCTCTGAGTCAAAGGGTTTTTTTCTCAAATCCCCTCTGAATCTCCTACCCCTTATCCTTAAACTGTGCCTCATTGTGATGTGTCATGTGTGTCAGCATGTTTGATGGTGAAGGGTGGTTAGTCTGCTTGTCAACTTTGCTTTTAGCTCACAATGCTGGCTCACAGTGTAAATACTGTGAAGAGAACTGAGTGCATCAGCCTCTCAACCCGGTATATAGCTTCTTCAATGGAAAGCCCTGTGTAGTGCTGTGGCGACAACACAAATTGGGTACTTTGTGGAGCCAGTTTAAACTACAGGGGATTCAGTGAAGGCCTGGCCCTGAGACTTGTGATATACAGATCCATTGGTGTGTGTTTAATAGCAGACCCAAACTGTGGTTAAGTACGGTAGTCCCATTACCTATGGGTGCGTCAGGAAAGAAGAAGGCTAAGTGAGTTTACTCTGACAAAAAAGTCTGGAGTGGACCCCTACAGGTGATAATCTGTCATCAATCAGGCAGCTTTCCAGAAACTTCTGCAACAGAATGATACCAAAGTAATGCTAACAATTCCAAAGGGAGGTCCTGATACTTGGGTTACTGAGGGTCTTCATAATATTTTCCCAGGCTTACACCCTGAAAAGGACACTCAAGCTGCATGGTTTATGTTGACAAAACATGGGAAGTAACAGTTAATTAGCATGGGACATGAGCAGCAGGGGCTACATCCACTCTGGGGACTAGGTCAAATCCATGCAAGCTAGGATCCACACAGAGACCAATTATGGAGTAGACTCAGGACAGAGTTGAGTTTTTTCAGAGAGCCATCTTCAACCAGCAGTCTTCACCAGGCGGATGGAAGATGGACCAAAAGGAGAGGAGAAAGACTGAGGGAAGAGTTCCCGAACACCTAGGCTAAAGAGCAGGATGCTGTCCCCATCACTTTAGTGAGACCAAAACATTCCATGCCAACAGGCTGTTTGTCCTCTAGTATCAGCGACCGATCCCCAGTTGTCACAGCTGTATACTTTCTTTATTTGACTAATTGATGTATCATATTTAAATTACTGTTTCTTAACAAACTCAATAACAATGATAAAATTACTTGCAATAAAGTGTTGCCTGCCTGAGATTTACTAGGATGTTGTCGGGTATGGAAGGTTTGCATTATAAAGAAAGGCTGGATAGGCAGGGACTGTTTTTATTGGAGTGTAGGAGGTTGAAAGGTGACCTGATAGAAGTTTATAAAATATAATGAAGAGTGTAGATAGAGCTAATAGTAGTTGTCTTTTCCCTAGGATGGGGGATTTCAAGACTAGGGGGGCACATTTTAAGCTGAAAGGAGAGAGATTTAAAAAACACATGAGGGGCAAATTTTTTACACAGAGGGTGGTTCATGTGTGGAATGAACTTCCTGAGAAAGTAGTGGATGTAGGTACAATTACCAAATTTAAAAGATATTTGGATAAGTACATGAATAGGAAAGGTTTGGAGGGATATGGACCAGGAGCAGGCAGGTGTGACTAGTTTAGTTTGGGATTATGTTTGGCATGGACTGTTTGGACTGAAGGCTGTATGACTCTATGACTCTATAACTATGATCACAAACCCCTAAAATCAACAATTGGCATGTGAGGAAAGTGAGAGTTGAGCAGGATGGTAAGTGGGTCGAGAAGCAGATGTGTAGGTTAGCAGGTGGGTGTGGTTGGTAGTCAGATCAGGTGTAGAGGTATATTCAGGTTGAGGCAGGAGGTATTGAGTGGTAAAGGGGTCAGGTTGGGTATTCGCAGAGTGGGGAGGAGTTGGCTGATGGAGTCTTGTTTGGTAAAGCCGATCAGGTGTTGGAGCATTGGGGTGGTGTTCGGTGGAGTACTGGAGTGATCTGGCCTTGTCAGGCTGGGAAGGAGTGTGGCTTCAGTTGGTGGGATCTAGCCAGTTGGGGGGCTTTCTAAGTCAATTGTATATTTTCTCAGAAGTTATCAAGGCTTTGTTTGGCAAGTAGTAGGAATCTATTTTCAATGCATTAGCATGTCCTGCATGATCACTAAAATACCATGTCAACAGATGAAACAGGATCTTAGCAATTAACTTTGCTGGAAAAGAGGAGCTTGTGCTTTTATATTCATAACTGGTTTAACATGATATGAAGCAGACAAGTTAGTCCTCCTGGCCAATTTGGACAGATTTGGAACTGTCTTTCTTTCATAGAGAGAGTTGTTTGATCATCAAAGGTGAGAAATTTGGTGCATAGAGATTGGGCAAGGGATTGGGACATGGAAAAAAGAAGGGGAGTGGGTCATGATGGACCAATGAGGGTTTATGGGAGACAAAGGGAGGAAGCTCAATCACTCAGGAGCTAAAGAGAGTGAGGAAATTAAAGCAACTGAAACAACAGATAAAAAATATTGGAGTAACTTTAGGGACTAAGATCTGAGGAATCCTCAGGACCCAACGGCCTACACTTGACAATTCTAAAAGAGGTAGCTGCAGAGATAGCAAATTTGATAGCTATGATTTTCTAAAAATTCTTTAATTCCTAAAGCGTCCATTCAGACTGGATATTGGCAAATGTCACGCCATTTTTTGAGAAAGGTGGGACAGAAAATGGGCCAGTTAGCCTAACATCAATTGCTGGAAAGTGCTGGAATCTGCTACTAAAGAGGTCATAACAATTCACTTAGAAAAGTACAGCATAATGGGAACCAGTCAACCTGGTTTTACTAAAAGAAATCCTGTCTGACAAAATACAAAGAGAGTATCTTTTTATTTTTCTTATTTTTCACTGTGGACTGAAATAGGAAAAGGACCGTTTTAAAAAAAAATTATGGAAAGAATTTCTGCGTTTTTTAAAAGCAAGTTATGTAACTAATTGTAAGTCATGTTTACACTGCTGCTTTGTTCAAACAAGAGGGAACTGTTTCTAGACAGGCTGGCACCATTGGGTATGTACAAAGTAAGATCTGGCTGGCATCAAATAGCTGATTGGTTTGTGGAGTTGTGACCAGTTGTGGATGCCAAGGTTCTGACATCAACTGGACAATAACAATCAGATTGTCTTCAGGGTAGCTGTGCAGCTTGTGGGTATGGACCATACTGGTGGAAGCCTTAAGAATTCTCAAAGGAGAGGTGATATGTCTTTCTCTCCAGTAAAAATACCTAAAACCTGAAGAAAGCCAATTTAATTTCCCTGTCTAGTTGCTGTAAGCAGTGGCTTTTAACCAGTAACTAAGAGACTTTGCTAATATACCAATTGCCTACAATTTCTGCAAAGAGGTGAAAGGATCCTGGAGAAGCAAGCTTAAGGAACAACAATTGCTGTCAAGCAAAAGGATTGTCTTAGCGAACCCTATGGATTCAGGCAATTGAGTTTATTTTCCCAGTTTTTCCCGCCATCCATAGCATGTTTTTCAGTCTGTCTCTGTCTGTAAGTGTGTATAGGAGAGTTTTATAAGGGAGTTAGAGTTTCAGTTGGTAGAGGTAAATGCTGACTGCTCATTGTCGTTTACTTGTGGTTAAGATCTATTTATTTGTAATAAACAGCAATTCTTTTGAAGTACAGAAACCTGGTCCATGTTTTTCTCTTAGCATGAGTCTATTTGACATGTACATTGAGGAATTTTGCATACATTGGAAGTCATGACTCCATGAATAACGAGCTAAATTTCTAGTGCACTTCCCCATTATGATGTAACAAAATTTACATGGACTCTGCTGGTGGAACAAAGCTACATAGGGAAGAAATGGTCAGCATGAATAAGATGGGCTGAATGGCTCCCTTCTGTGCTGTAACATTTCTATGTTTCTATAGAGGCTGCAAAGAGATATAGACAGGTTAAGCAAATGGGAAGCAAGACAGCAGGTGCATTATAATGTAGGTAGGTGTGAAGTTATTCGATTTGATGATAAGAATAGCAAAGTATTTTTTAATTAATATTCAAAGAGCTTTAGGTATGCTTGTGCAAGTACACAGAAAGTCAACATGCAAGTGGAGCAAGGAATTAGGAAGGCAAATGGCACAGTGCCTTTTTTGTCACAAGGGGATTGGAGTACAGGAATAAAGAAATCTTGTTATAATTGTGCAGGGTTTTGCTGAGACCATCTGCATTACATGCAGTTTTAGTTTCTACATTTAAAGAAAGATAGACTTGCATTCGAGTCAGGTTCACTAAATTAGTCACTGGGATGAGAAGTTTGTCTTTTGATGAGAGGCTGAGGAAATTGGATCTATATTCCCCAGAGATTAGAAGGATGAGAGATAATCTTCTATGAGCCTTCTTGAGTTGCTGTGTCTATATGGTGAGTTGCTGTGTCTATATGTTCTTTATGAGATGTGTCATATTATAATTACACAACTGTGACAGTTTACTTTGGAAAACAAAGAAACCATATAAGTGAATCTTCTCTGCAGGTGATGACACTGGCTGGGGGATGGGGCAAGTTGCTGCATGATCAATTGTCTTCAGATGTTCTCATTGAAGTTCAAAAATATGTAAAAGCACGCTTGGAAAGAAAATGGCTGCCAACGTTTCTGGCTTCACAAGAGTTTTCTCAGAGGCACCGTCAACAGGTATGGCAATCCTACAGTTATAGCAGGCACTGAATGTAAAACTGCATTATCTGTATGCTCTATATTGAAAATATAAATTCAGAACTTGTTGTTTTACATATGTCATATGTATCAGGAAAACTATACTGGAATAACTCAGATGAAACTGAAAATGGAGAAAATATTTGATCAGAGACAAATAATGCTATAGTTTTAGGTTGATGACCTTTCATCAGAACTAGGGAAAAGTTAGAAACTTAACAGATTTTAAGCAAATTAAAGGGACGAGTGGATTGGAGAAAACAGAAAGGAAGATCTGTGATAGAGCCATAGAGTCATGGTCATGGAGTCATACAGCACGGAAACAGACACTTTGGTCCAAACAATCCATGCCGGACATTATTCTAAACTAAACTAGACCCACCTGCCAGCTCCTGGCCCATATCCCTCCAAACCTTTCCTATTCATATAGCCATCCAAATGTCTTTTAAATGTTGTAATTGTACCCGCATCCACCACTTCATCAGGAAGTTCATTTCACACGTGAACCATCCTCTGTGTAAAAAATTTGCCTCTTATGTCTTTTTTAAAATCTCTCTCCTCTCACCTTAAAAATGTGCCCCCTTGTATTGAAATTTCCCATGTTAGGGAAAAGACAACTACAATCAACTCTATCCATCCCTCATTATTTTATAAGCTTCTATCAGGTTGCCTCTCAACCTTCTATGCTCTAATGAAAAAAAGTCCCAGCCTATCCAGCCTTTCTTTATAACTCAAACGTTCCATACCTGGCAACATCCTGGTAAATCTCTGTGAGCCCCCTCCAGCTCGGTAATATTCTCCCGCCAGTAGGAGCATCCACATATTGATAAAGAAAATTTTCTTGAGCACATTTGACAATTTCTTCACCGTCCAAACCTTTAACACTAAGGTAGTCCCAGTCAATATTTGGAAAATTAAAATCCCTCATTATAACAATCTTATAATCCGAGATCTCCCTACATGTTTGTTTCTCAATTTCTCTCTTACTATTGGGGGCCTATATACAATCCCATCAAAGTGATCTTTCCTTTCTTATTTCTAATTTCTACCCATAAATTATCATTGGACAATTTTTCAGAAATATCTTCGCTAGTTACTGCGGTAATGTATTCCTTAATCAAAAATGCTACGCCCCACTCCTCCCACCCCCCACTTTCTTGCCTCCTTTCCTATCCTTCCTATTACATCTAAAACCGAGAGACAACATTGAGCTGCCGGTCTTGTCCATCTCTCAGCCAAGTCTCTGTAATAGCTATGATGTCCCAATTCCATGTTCTTAAACATGCCCTGAGTTCATCAGCCTTACCTGATAGGAGAGACATCGAGAGTAAATAATAAGTTCTGAATGTACAAAGTCAAGGAAGGTGATAATTGAACAAGTAAGGAAACAAAAGAAGTCTTTTGAGGATGCGTGAATGGCAGAATGATGAACAGCTTTCATTTGACAGCAAAATGAGTTGAAGTAAGAACCTGCAAAGATAAAGGAAACAAAATTGGACATAGGTTTTCTGGAGAAACAAATATTTGTGATACCTGATTTATTTATATGTTTCAATATCTTTTATTTCAAGTTTGCATTTTGAACTTTGAATTGATAGCATATGGATTTTCCATGTGTCTGAAGTTAATAATTAACTTATGTATTTCTGTTGCCATGGGGATTTCTGTTAAAACATTTTAACGGGCCTATGATTACTTTAGAATTATACAACGTGGCAGGGTGAATCATTACACTTTAAGGTTGATCCCATGGCTTGATGGTAATAGTTGAGTGGGGGATACGCTGGGCCATGAGGTTACAGATTGTGCTGAAGTACAATTCTGCTGCCTCTCAGCACCAGGGTCCTGGGTTCGATTCCATCCTCAGGGGACTGTCTGTGTGGAGTTTGCACATTGTCCCCGTGTCTGTGTGGGTTTCCTCCAGGTGCTCTGGTTTTCTCCCACAGTCCAAAGACGTGCAGGCTAGGTGGATTGGCCATGCTAAATTGCCCATAGTGTTCAGGGATGTGTGGATTAGGTGGATTATAGAGGGATGGGTCTGGGTGGGATGCTGTGAGGATTGGTGTGGACTTGTTGGGCTGAAGGGCCTGTTTCCACACTGTAGGGAATCTGTTTTAAAAAATTTAACATGTGGGGGCTAGTGCCAAAATTGAGAAAGCAGTCTCACAGATGAGTGAAGCAACAGCCTGACATAGTCATACTCAAAAAATCATACCTTACAGACAATGTCCCAGACACCACCATCACCATTCCTCGATATGTTCTATTCCACCCCACAACAGAACAGCAAAGATGGTGGCACTGTGGCATACAGTTGAGAGGGAGTAGACCTTTGAGTCCTTGATGTTAACACCATGAAGTCTCAAGGGTTCAGGTTAAACATGGGCAAGGAAACCTCCTGCTGATTACCACATATTGTCCTCCCTCAACTCATGTATTGGTACTCCTCCATGTTGAACAACATTTGGAGGAAGCATTGAGGGTGCCAAGGGTGTACAATGTACTCTGGGTGGGGGATTTCAAAGTTCACCACTGAGAGTAGCTTGAAAGCAGAACTACTAACCGGGTTGGTGGGACCCTAAAAGACATAGCTGTTTGGCTGTGTCTGCGGAAGATGGGGATCAAGAGAGAAAGACATACTTGACCTCTTTACCAATCCGTCAGCTGCAGATGTATCTGTCCATGGTAAGAGTGAGCACCGCACAGTCAGACAAAGTTCTGCCTTCACATTGACAATAACCTTGATCGTGTTGTGTGGCACTGACACTGTGCTAAATGGGACAGACTTCGAACAGATCTAGTAACTCAAGAATGGGCATCCATGAGGCACTGTGGGCCATCAACAGCAGCAGAATTGTACTCCAGCACAATCTGTAACCTCATGGCCAGGCATATCCCCCACTCAGCCATTACCATCAAGCCAGGGGATCAACCCTGGTTCAATAGACAGTGCTGGAGGGCATGCTAGAAGCAGCACTGGACATACCTAAAATTGATGTGTCAACCCAGTGAAGCTACCATACAGGACTACTTGCATGTCAAATAGCATAAGCAGCAAGTGATAGATAGAGCTAAGCAGCACCTGCTCAGCAACAACCAGTTTGGATTCTGTCAGGGCCATTTAGCTCCCGACATCATTCCGGCCTTGGTTCAAACATGGTCAAAACAGCTGAATTGTAGAGGTGAGGTGAGATCAACAGCCTTTTATATCAAGGCCACATTTGTCTGAGTGAGGCTTCAAGTAGTCTTAGCGAAGCTGGAATCAATGGTATCAGGAAGCAGACTCTCTGCTGGTTGGAGTCATACTCAGCACATAGGAAGATGGTTGTGGTTGTTGGAGGTCAGCCATCTGAGCTTCAGGACATCTCTGCAGGAGTTCTTCAGGGTAGTGTCCTAGGCCCAACCATCTTCAGCTGCTTCATCAATGACCATCATAAGGTCAGAAGTGGAAATGTTCACCAATGACCGCTCACTGTTCAGCACGATTCACAACTCCTCAGATACTGAAGCAGCCCATGTTCAAATGCAACAACATCTGGACAATATCCAGGCTTGGGCTGACATGTGGCAAGTAACATTCATTCCATACAAATACCAGGCTATGACCATCATCAATAAGAGACAATCTAACTACCACTCTTGACATTCAATGGTGTTAGCTTCACTAAATCTTCCACTGTCAACATCCTTGGACAAGCTCAAAAATCACACGACACTATGCGTGGCATTTTGATCAATCGAAACCTGTGTCTACTTTCTGACCAATTAAGGGCTTAACAGGAGGGAGTCAGCCAGCCATTTTAGATTTATTCAATACTTTGCATCAGTTGTGTGATCATTTGATCTTTTACTTATAAATTCTGTGTTTTGATACCTCGTCTCTCATTACACTTGAGGAAAGAGCAAAGCTACGAAAGCTAGTGTTTTCAAATAAACCTGTTAGACTGTAACATGGTGTCATGCGATTTTTGACCTTGTCCAACTCAGTCCAACACTGGTACCTCCACATCCTAACATCTTTGGGGTTACCATTGACCAGACACTCAACTGAACTCATCGTATATACACATCGTATATAGCTTCAAGAGCAAGTCAGAGGCTAAGAATATATGTCGAGTAATTCACCTCCTGACTCCCCAAAGCCTGTCCATCATCTACAAGACACAAGTCAGGAGCGTGATAGGATACTCCCCACTTGTCTGGATGGGTGCAATCCTGGACAAAACAGCCCACTTGTATGGCACCACATCCACAAGCATCCACTCCTTTTAACAGTGTATAATATCTACAAGATGCACTGTAGAAATTCACCAAAACTCCTTAGACGGCACCTTCCAAACCCATGACCACTTTCTATCTAGAAGAACAGGGGTAGTAGATACATGGGAACATCATCTCCTGCAAGTTCCCCTCCAAGCCACTCACTATCCTGACTTGGAAATATATCGTCCTTCCTTCACTGTCGCTAGGTCAAAATCATGGAATTTCCACCTTCAGGGAATTGTTGGTCAACCTACAGCAAATGGACTGCAGCAGTTCAAGGTGGCAGTTCACCACCACCTTCTCAAGGGCACCTAGAGAAGGGCAATAAATGCTGGCTCAGCCAGTGATGTCCATGTACCATGAATAAATTTTTAAAAATGCACTGTACTGCTGCCAGTGACATAATTCTGTTCTGTTGACTCATATTTATTGTGCTTATTTGAGTGAAGACCATGTTTTTTTTTACTGACAGAACTTTTCACAGTCTTTTAAAACAGTGTCCTCCGATTCGCCATCCGTGTACAAGCGGAAACAATTTCTCACTGTGTTTTCTTTTCATTATCCCTCATGATTTTGAAGACTTCCATTAATATCTCCTTTTCTGTACAAACAGTCCTAACTTTTCCAATCTTCCCTCACAACTAAAATGTTTCATCTCTGGAACTGTTCCTGTAAACAGGCTTTCTCCATTCTCCTCGGCAGTGTTCCTTCTGATC